ATTCCTGGATGGTGTCCTTCATGTCAAATACTCTGTTTCTGATGTACCTAGGTAGAGGTTCAGCTTCTATAAGTTGCCCATTAGGGTGTTCCCTTCGCTGAAGTCTAATAGTCAGCGGCTGTCCACCAAAGATGCGCCTCATTTAAACAGGTATTAATCAACGAGAATGTGGGTTCGGAACGCGCCACGTAGAAACAGAAACCCCCACGCAACGCCTCGGTTGAGATACCCCCTTTCTGATGTCGGCCACTGCCGAACCCGACTGGCTACTTGGATGTCTCCCCAATCGATGACGAAGGTGATGTTCAAATAGCAATTTCCCATTGAAAAAGAACAAAACGGTTGTGTTGGATTAATTATTGGTTCCTGCGCCCCTAAGAAAGAATTTTGAATATTGTTAGGGTTCTTCAAATAGCCAAGCAATCCGGGTTATAGTAAATTTTTACATATGAAAGGAAAAAATTTGCGGAATTTGCACAAATACCATTTGACTTTGGAGCTTAAGATTTTTAACAAAGACATCTAAGCCGTCTCGGACATTTCCGCACAATCTTCTGCTGAACTTAGCACAGCTAAAACACTAAATCCTATAAGCGCGGCGTGAAAACCCAACAAAACAGATCAACTATTAAGCGCACAAATATTTACAAAACAGCAGATGGGTTTTCCAAACACGTAGACCCCACTTGGTTTTAATACCTTCGACTGCAGCCATTTTCCGACCTTTGTGGCACGAAGGAGTCAAAAGTAAAATCGCTGATTATTTTTAAGTATTAGCTTGAGCAAATCCGCCAGGAAGCCCGCAGCCACAATGCGAAAGTGTTCAAAATATTTATGCACACTTTGCCAAAATCCGATTAGCGCATGTGGAGAAGGTGGTTGCTCGTTGGGGTTGCCACTGAAGCAATACTGCATTTTATAATTACAAAACATGTGGGAAAGGAGCGTCAAGAGAATTCCTGTTCTTGTTGCATGCCACACAAGCAGCCAACAACAACAAAAACAGCGTTGGAACACATGTGGTAGCCTAGCACTTGACATAAGGGGCGCACACAGCTTCTTGACCTGCCACGGCAAGTGTCTTGTATGTACCTACTCGTATATGTGTTTGTATTTGTGTTTGCATAATACATGTTGTATAACACTGCGTTAATCTCATTAATCCCAATGCAAATAATTAGTGTTTTGCACACATTGGCATTGTCGATAATTCCCAGGGCGAGGGAAATTGCCATTTCGCCGCATGCCAAGCGGATTGTTGGCGAGCGAGTGAGTGATGGACAGGCTTATACAGACGTACATACATACATGTATGTGGCAAGTACCGTCGGGCAACCAGCTTCGACTGAACAGCATACGTAAGGTGTTTAATGTAAAAAGTGCCTAACTGCAGGTTTTTCAAAAATGATTTTTAAGTATTTATAAGCAGCTTATTTCAAGATACAACTATTAAAAATGTTTTGCGTGTCCAACTAAGTTGTACCTACCGCAATTTCAATAGAAAACGTTATAGCGACACGCAAGGAACTTGGAAAAAATTAGCAAATTTTCAAAATTATTACTATTTTTTTTATTTTTGTTGCAACAACAAAAATCCTTTGGTGATTCCGAAATTGTTTGCAGTTATGACGTTTCTGCAATTCAACAACAATATATGTAGCAAGCATTATCTGCTAATATCCATAAACATTTGTATGTACATACGATTATACACATTTACACATTTTGCAGTTGTCATTGATTTTAATGTGTTTAGCCCTACATGCATACGTACATACATAAATATGCATGCATGTATGTATATCCTACCTGATGTGATTCTGTTTCTGGAAAATCCATTAAATACCGCGCACACGCTGTGTCACACTTTACAGGATGAGCCGAATGCACCAAAAAAAAAAAAAACCAAAAACAACATACAAAATTGTAAAATGCAAAATGCAAAATCAGGCGAAAATGCATAAAAAAGTGCTGTGCAACAGAAGGATGCAAGCCAGTTGGAGCAGCGTTAATGCCGCGTGAAATTAGATTTACACTGAAATCGTCGAAGATCGCACAGACTCTCTCCCTGAGGTACGTTATCCCTTCAGAGCGTGTACACATATAAACATATAAACATAATCTTGACTACTTTAGGTCTCATCCTTATCGTCTCCGTCGCCGTCGCCGTCGCCGTCAACGTCAAGAGGTGTCGCAACAAGCGACAAAATGCGGTTAGCAGCGTCTCGCCCCCTTTTCTGCACGGTGAGCTTATCAGCCAACTGGTCGACACTTTCGGCAATTGCATTGTATTGTATTGGCCTTTTTCGGGATTTTATTTTCTGCATTAACGCTTACTACTAATGCGATGAGTTTGTTTACGTTTTCCAGGAATCAAGACGAGCTGCACTTTAACACCCTACAAACGATAAAAATTGTTTAGGCGGTACGAACAGGATTCCATTTTAAGTAAAATGCTGACTCTCCTCTCTGGTGTTGTTGTTATGTGTACATGAACAGTTTTTTGTTTGTTTGTGTCACTTGCGCTTGCAGCAATTGTTTCAGTGAATGAAATGAGGGCGGACAGCGGTGGCAAGGTGCCATTAAATGTAAAAAATAACAATGACCAAACCATGAGTAGCGAGAAAAGTAAAAAAGTGCCGACACACGCATATCAGTCCGCCAGTCAGCCAGCCGTTGGCAGCCTTTTTGGCTGCTTCGTTACGATTTGAAACTGAATCGAATCTAATTGTACTAATGGCTCGAAATTCCGAGTAAAACACACAAACACAAACACATGCACATGCCTGCATGCATGTGTACATACTATTAAAAGACGTACCCTTGAAGTGCTCATTTTTATAAACATTAATTTATATACATATATATGTATATGTATATATGTATGTAAGTGCTTAGGTATTTATGCGGTCAACAATTCGAATTGCAGGATGAAATAAGAAAATAATGAAACGGAAAAAATAATGTATTACAAAAGAAAATAATGCTTGAAGGGAAAATAATGTGCGAACAATGAAAAAGAGGCCAAATTGAAATAACAATGCATTATCAAGGATATGGCTAACTAAGTACATACGTAGCCGTACATACATACACGTATATAGGTATGTATGTACATATGTTCGAGTACTATATGTAGAAACAAAGTGTTAAATTGTAAGTATTACACAAACACGCATTACAGATTATTATCAATAGTTATTGTCATGTGTCGCTTTTGTTACTCTTATTGTAGAGACGTATGTACTCACTCATAAAACATAAAAACAATTAAAGTGATATGACACACACAGAAATGAGCATGCTCAACGCAGTTTTGTTCATCACTGTGACAAAATAAGTGAGCAGTTAAGTTGTTGAACAACAACTAGTACCCAGCATAATAGAAAATGCCTTCCAAAATTTTTTAAAAACGAGCTTAAATGACAATAAAAAAAATAAACAATTTAAAAATCAGTGTTCACAGCAAGTTAATAGCGAATAAAAAACCAAAATTGTGAAGAACGAAACATTAATTTAAGTATGCATGTTTTAAGTATAATAAGTAATCTAAATTTAAGTCTAAACGCTGTTAAAGTTATTTTTTGAAGAGCTTTTATTCTAAAAAAAATTTCACACTTTTGATGTCTCTCAAAAACGTTTGACAACCAATTTTTGGCCTGATTTTTTTATTCATAAAGCTATCTCTGCGTCACATTTCTAATAATGACAAAATAAATTTATTTATGTATTATCTACTAAAAAAAATTAAATATTTAACGTATGAATTTTAATGAGCAAAGTCCTGACCCACACAAAAATAGTATATTCAAATTAACTTAAATGTCTTCAAATTTCAACAATAATTCCAAACTAACTGATTGATTTTCAGTTTTATAAATACACATCTACATATATGTTTATAGTTACAATTAAATGTGTATTTTAAATTGTTCTTAAATAAATTTATATACTAAAAAAAATTCAAATTCCAAATAAAAATAGAAATAAACATCCTCCATATTTTAGATTTGTTCGCCTTTTCTGTATAAATTACGCTCAACAGTGAAATCCGCCATTAGAAATTGTAAATTACAGAGCCGACTGCAGCTACTGTTAACATTGCCATACCACAACAACCCTTTTACATTGCACCCAATAACGGAAGCATAAAAATTTTTTATTCTTCAACACATCTACGTGCTTACACACACGTGTATACTTACATACTTGCCCTCAACAAATGTACAAGTGCGAATGAGCCAACGCTAGAGAACCACAAAGAATTCTCCAATGCCCAAGAACACCGCAAACACAATGCAAACAAAAACAAACTTAATGGGGATTCACCAATAGGACTGCGTAAAACTGGTAGCGGCACTCAACTTGGCATGCTCAATTTTAATGTAGAGAAGAAAAAAAATACTGAATAAAAAAATAAAACCAACAAATAGCCATAGCAACGACGGTAGTTGGAAGAGTGACGAGGCGTCGAAAAGTTTGAATAACAGCAATGACGACAGCAACAGCAACGGCAGCCCCAACAACATGGCTGGCTACTGTTTACACAGAACGAAACAGCACGAACAGAACAGAATGAAATTTAACTGCAAACCAACATAAATGGAGAATTCCAATGAAGAAGAAGAAGCGGAGCTGTTGGCTGCACAAAAGCGCCACCACACATATAAAACAAATAAATACTACTTGGCTGGCTTCGTACGTTTGTAAGTAAAAAAAAACAAAAAAACAAAAAAAAATATCGACGGTGGCGTAACACAGAAGTCGTGCTGTCATTGTTGGACGTATGAATGCATGTATGTATGTATGTACATTTGCCGAATCACCCATGTTGAGACAGTAGCATACTGTTGTAGTTGCAGCGCATGTGCAAAGAGAGACGATGTAATGGCTGTTGCGGTGGGTGGTTGCTAACTGTTTCGTTGGTACTCTACACAATTATATTATGCTTACAATAGTTTGGAGCTTTTGCTGAGCTAAGCACGAGTGTGGACACTTACCCTGTGGAATATTCGTGATCCAGATGCGAAATAAATATTTCTGGCTTGCGACAAGCACTCAACACAACAAAAAAGTACGCGTTAAATTAAATATATTTTTTCAGAAAAATTAAAGATCGATTCAACTTAACGTTGCAAACTAGTTAACACTTTGGCAATGTATACACAGGTATTTTACGTTTTCAGCTGTAATTAGTACGCGTATGTATGCATGTGTGTTATTTATGCGTTTATTGTATTGCATGTAGGTATGTAAACTACGTGTATGTATACGACAATGCAATTTAACTAACTGCGAGACGAAAATAAACGGTTGCTTACTACTCTGCTACAGATTACGGTCTGTGGAACAAGCACGTCGGTAAGGCACGAAGATGACTTCTTCAATGAGATATGTACGTTACTACCTACTTACAATTTGGTGCGAAAGTGCCGACGTTGCATGCCAACTGCTGCCTCTGCTGCTGCGGCGGCGACAGCGGCTACTCATTTGCGAGCACTGTGCTGCGCTGCGACGCCGTCGTCGTTGCTGTGCTTTGTGACTTGCATTACAGCCGGGAAAGAAATTCATTCAGATGCGTTAAGAGCAGCACTGTTTCGATGCGTCACAAACTACCGAATTGAGTGAGAGTTCTATGTGTGTGTGTTTGTTGATGTGTGCACGCTGTGTGAGCGTAACAAATTGAGCGATCTATTTGAGCGTAACTGCGAGTGCAGTATTTTGAAATACTGAACCTAACCAATCAGCTCAACTTCTATATACAGAAGCCAGTTAGCCAGGCAGTGGCCGACGCAGCTCAAAATATTCTGTTCTGCCTTTCGATTGTGCTTGGTATTCTATTTAACTTTTCTGTTTTATTTTTCGCTACTGAAAATATAATTTAGAGCTAAAGCCACTACTACCACACATGTAAATATGTATGTAGTTACCTAAATAACTAACACCGTGGCGCTACCAACTCAATCCGAATCGCCAACAACCAATCAAGTAGCTGGTATACATTGACTTACCGATGACTAACTAAGCCCGAACTGTAAAGTCCAGTTGAAATGCGTTTACGGTTGCTACTTCGTGCGTGTACGATCACTTGGGAAGGAGGTGCTTAAGACCGGTAGCCGAAGGTACAGGCGGTTGCTACTGGTTTACAATATGTGGCAGCAGCAATCGCGACGACGGTGAACAGAAGATGGACTTACATGCATACATACAATATAGAAATGTACATACATATGTATATGGGGACAGTGTTTGGGTGGTGATGAAATATTCTTAGAATAAAAGGCAGCTGCCGGGGATAATGCATAGATTTATGATTTTAACTCCCAATAAATTAATAAATTAATTAATATGACCGAGAAAAGGCCTTTTTAAACTTTTGTAGACATATTAAATTATAGTAATTTACAATGAAAATTAAGTCATCTTATTAACCTTCAGTATGGATTACGCATACATTCTACATGTATCAAAAAAAATATTACTATGCTTATAAGATATGAGCAAATTTTTTTAATTTTCAAATGAAAGTTTCTGCAAAAAACTTAATTTCAATACGTAAAGTTTCGAAAATGTTATCATAAATCCATATGTAGGGATTGCGTACACATATTTTAAATAGGAATATACTGTATTTTTTTAATTTAAGGCCAAAAAATAGGTTTTTTTTAATAATTGTTATGTTAAAAAATTTTGTCTCAAAAATTAAATAATTAAATTAATTTCATTTTATAATTTAATAAACTAAATTTTTCAACCGAAATAATGCACGGATCTATGTACATACGTAAAAAGTTGAGATAATATTTTTTGAATTATTAAAATTAAAATAATTTTTTTAAATAATGTATGCTTATTTTGTGACATTTCTTTAATAATAATTTAATAATTAAATTATAATTATATTAAAATATATGAAAAAAATAAAAGATTACAAAACACGCAAATTATTTTTTCACATGTTAACGAGGGTGGTATAAAAATTTTAAATTTTTGAAAAATCAGTCGAAAATCGCTTCAGCAATTACAAAGCGCTAATAATTGTTCCTATAAAAAAATGTTTTCATTTCTTTCTTAATAATTATTCGATTCATTATAACGATTTCAGTGCGATTGCTATAAGTTATTAGAAAAAACAGTCAATTACTGTTTCATTCACATAATATATTTTTCAAAATAAATAAATTGACATTTAATTGCAGGATCTCTTTTTTGTTGAGAAAAATAAAATTTTGTGTTTCCGATAGAGACATATTTAATTTTTTAGAGAAATATTTTAGTGACAGGTACCTTTTTTTATCAATAACTTTTATTAAAAAACAAACATTCAGAAATTGCAAAAAATATAGCAATATAAGCAAAAAATATTGATTGAGCACCAATTTAATTCTTAAGCTTCAATTTTCATTACAAAAATATTTTGAAATTCGAATAAATAAGTGAAAACTATGAAAATTCGGTATTTTCTTTAATGTAAATGAAATTTCAAATTTAAAACACACTTTAAGCGAAACTGCCACACGGTGCGACACACCGCATTTCCTTCCGCCGCAGTGAACTTAAACAGCTTTCATGACGTCGTTTTCGCCGTCGCGATCTACAACCATATTATTTAAATAACGTCTTAGCGGGAAAGCAAGTGTTGTAAATTTCGGTATTGATTTTATTACGCCACAACCGTTGTTTATGGTCATTTACATCGCTTACCGGACGCGGTTGTAAGTTTCGTGGCCTCTGTGGTTTACTGCGTTCGGCTGACACACGATCATCTATAATGAACGCACACTTGCACACTTCTTTAAGCACATGAAAGGCGCATGCAAACAGTAGCTGTTAACTGTAGTAGTGGTGGCTACCATTGGCCAGTCGTTACGCAGCGCAATTGGGGTGTGCCAATCGCAAGTGGGCGCACGTAAGCCCAGTGGCTGCAGCGCACAACCAATAACAGCTACCGTTTTGTGCCAGCGAATAACACTTCAACAACTTGACGTTACAACTTTGTTAGGAAAATCTTAATTTATGCACAGGTAAATAGACTCTAAATAAGAAATTATGAAACACTTACCAAAAACTGTATATTTTATTGGCTCTGAAGAGTGATGATCTCGGAAAAATTGGCAAACTGGCAAAATGGCAATCAGCGAACAGGAATTTAATGTTTATTGCCGTCGGTTGAAAGACCTCTTCACGTTCACGTTAATATGGTAAGTATTTTTTGAAAAACTTGCGCAAGAATTCACACGCGTATATTTTCAAGACTCGCTTAATTATAAAACTGGTAATCGTAAAAACTTTCGTCGCTTTATCTTTTGGCTCATCGCAGCCACGCAACACGAAAATTAAAGGCAACCGTCTCGATTTTATTGCCACAATCGGAAACAATATGTACGGTCGGCCGTTCGACTTGAGAAAAAACTGCGGTACGCTTTGTCAAGTTATATTATTTTATGATGTTGATGATGATATTGCATGCGTGTTAGGCGGCGCAATCTCGGCTAGGCGTATTCAGGTAAACAACTGCTTTAATATTATTTAATAAAATATATTTCACTTCCGAACGCTTCCGTGCGCGACAGTGAACTGCAAAGTTACGATCGAAACTTCAGCTTGATAGTTAACAGCTGCCTGTGTTGAACGCGGAGCGGCTTCTGCTTCTGCTTTCTGCTTCTGCCTTGCTTGCTTTTCTTATTACTTACTCGCATCCTCTTGCATCTTGCCCCGTGCTTCTTGTGGTCGCACGCCAATGAATCGGGTAATCGTGTTGCCCGGCCGTGTTCAAGCCATCGATCGTGCTGGTGCTGGCATTGTTGCTGGTGGTTAGTGATGGTAATGCTGATGATGGTGGTGGTGGTAATGGTGGCAGTTGCTATTGCGGTTGTGGTGCTGCTGGCGTTGCCTACTGGCTGCTGTTGCTGAGACCTCATACGCTAGCCCGCCACCTCAGCTCGCCGCAAGCATAATGCCATTATATTTGTTGTTATTGCGATTGGTTCATTGGTTGACTACAACAATATCACTTATTATTGTTGTTTTCACCTTCACGTTCATTGTGGTAGCGTTGACTCTGCTGCTTTCATTGAAATTCTCGATAAAATGAAGACAGCACCGACTCAGACGCCTACAACAACAATGTAGTGGATGGATCCAAAAAAAGTCGCACAACAACGGCAATGGTATTCATTTAAGACTTTGAGCAATTTTTATGTATGAATGTACAATAACGATACATATACATATCTATGTATAGAAGACAACATCACTAACGCTCAAAAGCAGAGCTACAGCAACTAGAACAACAACAAAGCGAATAATGGAATGGAGAAAAACACCAGCAGCAGATATCGTAGCGGCCGGGCAAAAGTAATTACAAAACGATACTCCTAGCACTTGGCACGATCGGTCTGCATGTGCGCGAATGAGATGTACAGATGTTGTAGCTGGTCTCTTGCATGAGCTACGCGCAGTGCAGGGTAAGCAGACACAACGGCAACCACACCAACACCAGCTAGAACACCGCCAACCACCAGCCAACCAACTTGTCAGCATTCCAATGCCAAACCACACTCCAGTTGCAGCTCCAGCTCAATCACTCAAACACTTTGCACACTCAAGCCATGCTCAGTAAACACGCTAAGCGGACGTTCGGAAAGTGGAGTACCCATGGTGGGTATAAGCGCATGCGCATGCGCAGCGACTGGTGAGTTGAGTGCATACAAGAGCCCATGTGTCGATGTGTGTGATTTGAGTGAAAATCTAAACCGAATTGAGTATTTCTATTCGTCCGAACTTCTTAACACAGGTAGTTAATACGGTAGACCTGCATACTCGGCCAAATACAAATACAAAATACCAGAAGTTGATATGCGTGTGCATGTGTGTTGCGTGCTTTTTGGCGCTTCGGCGATACATGTACGCGAAGGGGCGTATCCTTTTTGCCTTGTACTCGTATCACGGTGGCTAAGCGCCGTCCGAGTTGTGGTAATTACGGCCAAATAATGTGCTACTGTTGCTGCAACGCGAGCAGCGCTAGAAAGCCAGTAAGAAAGGTTGGACTCAACTTTGGCAGCAATGGAGGCAGCGCCACTTTTTGACGCGAACAGCGACAGCGTTGCCACCAAAATGCTGATAGCTTAGGTTGCTATTGCTCGTACCGCGTTTATGGAGCAAAGCGCTGTTGCTGCTGATACATTTTATGAACATATTTCATATAGACGCACACTGATGCAGCCGTTTATATACATACATACACGTATGTATGTATGTGCACATGGAAGGATGGACATTTTAATTAAGCAGCAGTCAATGATGCTACCAGCCGCAGTGTGCAAGTGAAAGTTCGGCAAATTGTGTGGCCATGACGCTGACGGCGACGGCTGAGTCGATGAATGAACGGACGCACATGAATGGTTGGAGGGCACATGGAGTTGTAGTGGTTCGTACATACATGTGTGTGCATGTATGGGTAATCGTTGCATATTTGCTTGAGATGCTTGTTGTTTTTGTGTTGTGTGTTTGACT